TCTTCCGTCATGATAAATTATATATATATATATAAAAAAATTCTAAACAGTATTTTAACACCACAGCTTTCCACTGAGTTAAATGGTGCGAGTTCCCATGCCGCACACCACAGGTATTAGTGAACCAGGGATACAGCTTACAAAAGGCAACTTCTTGATTCAGCATCTGTCTAGTCATCTGCAGCATGGGATTTACATAAAAACCTTCACGGCCGTATGTGGAGTTGCAGGCGCTGCCAATTTCCACTTACGGTAAAGACTGGCTTTTGATCATAAAGAGACTTCAAAAATGAAGAAGCTTTCAAACATGAAGTACATGGAGAGCAACAAAGAAATGAGGGAACGCATTTCTAATACCAACACTGCTTGTGACAGCACTCCTGCAGTCCGGAGGAGACCCAGCGGGGGCCAGACGCTTCCCATCTATGCCTTGGACAGCCTCAGCAGTACTAATTAAAACCCCAAGGATTTTAAAACTCTACGTGCCCAAATTCCTCCAGCGCAACAGTAAAAAAAATTAAATCTAGGTCCTAAACCTAAATAAAACACATTCTGGTTGGGGGGCGGGAGGGGGCATAAATCCATACGTCAGCTGTTACCGATGGGAGAAAAGTGCAGTGGCTTGTCCCCTCCCCCAGCAGCCAGCTCCTTGGCTCCCACCGCCTCCCTGCCCTCACCTCTGCCGGGACTGGCAGCACCGGGGGGCTGATCCCCTCCCGGCCCCGGGCCCCTCCACGCCGCACCCCGCCGCTTCGGCAGCATGCCCAAAGCAGGGAGCCGAGGGGTTTGGCCGGGCAGAGCTGGGGACCCGAAGGGGGGCTGACCAGAGAGGTCTGTGTCCCACGCAGCCACATCCCCTCAGAGTCAAAAAGTGACTCCTTACCCATAGCAAAGAGGTAAAAACGTACCCAACGCTTTGGCTACGAATTTTACCACAATGCAAAGAATATTGGCTACAAGCAGCAGGATTTGCTTTAAGACACCACTTGTAGGGCATTCAACCAGTCTCTAAGGTCATTCAAGGAGGGAGGTGATTCAGCAGAAGAGGTGACCGTCACCTAACAGGCTCCCTGCGGGCAGCCACCACTGCTCTTCAGAAGGACAACCATCACCTTGGCCACCAAAACACCCCGGTACAACAGACCTGCCACGATGCAGATGGATCAGAGACGTTTTGGCCAAAGTCAACTAGGCGCCCTTAGCCAAAGGGGCACGCTGGCTCCATGACCAAACCCTGAATCCCTGAGCTGCCCCACCCACCATGCATCTCCCCGAGGAGCTACAGGAGGCATTTCAACCCCACTGCCACCCCCAGCTCCCAAGAGCAAAATGACTTCAAAGCCAAAACAGCATTCGCCTGTATAAGCTGGTGCCAAATCTAAGCCAACAAGCGCGATCCAAGTTTCAGAGACAGGTTGCATCAATGCTAGCTACTAAGCCATCTTTACCAGGTATATTAATGGTAGGAATAGGATTTAAGCCCAATATTTACATGAAAGAGCTCCTTCCCCTCCTCTTAATATTGTGCTTCTCTCTCTCTAACCAGAACAGTTAAAAACCCCAACCTCTCAGTTCAGGCAACCTGTATTCATGAATTAAGCAACCAAAAACCGAGCCTAACTTCCAACAGCTTACAAATGTCTTCTTTATGGGCTTAATGCAGTAAGCTCAAGTCCAAATTTAACGCTGATGGACTCACAGGACTTTACGTGAGCTAAGCGCACAGAACTTCTCTTTATATTGCAAAGGCAAAAAAGCCAAAGTAAATTTATTCTTTGCTAATACAGACTGTTCACTTACTGACATCTTTGCAGTGTTAATATTTAGAATAACTTCTGGTACTTAAATACATATGGATAAAACAAAGGAAAAATGTCTTAGTGGAAAAGTTGAAAACCTACCTATAAAATTTATGTACCCTTAAATAGGAATTTGATTTCAAACTTGTCCTGTGTTTCTTGAGACCTTATTCTCTTTATGACGAATGACAAAGCTGTTAGCAGGTCCAGTGGAAGCAGGACTGAGATCTCTGTAGGCTTCTAGAACTGAAGCTCTATTGATGGACGGTTTAAACAGAACCCACCTCTTGCGGGGCCAGTAAAAATCATTCATTTGTGCATGTTTAAGTACCAATATTTTCCTAAAAATATCTTTTGACTATTTCTGGCCATATCTAAGGAACAGATGATCTTCAAAACGCAGCTGATCTCTCCACTGGCCTAAATTAACAAACACTTGGAACAGAATTAGTTTCTATTGGATATTTTCTACATATTTGATTTTCATCAATGTTTCTCCAGGCAGTAACTGATGGAGTTTCAAGAAGACTCCAGTTAAATTTTACAGAGATTATTTTTTTAATGCCACAATTACAGCACACACTTTCAAAAGAAAATATTTTTCTCATCTGCAATTTTTGGTAATTCAATTTGTTTCTGTACCTTAATTGCAACTCTTTTTGAGGACTTGATCCTTTAGCTACGTAGCTCATTGTGGCCTTATATGAGAGACTAGAAGTTCAGGTTCTAACATTTGCATGCATGACAGTTTTTGTGATATACATCGAGGCTTTTCCTCATAAATGAAGCGGGTAAATCTTACTTTTTTAGCAAGTGCATTCCATAGTACGCTTTCTGAATGATATCCTAGATTGAATATTTCATATTCTGTTTTCTTCTCCTCAATGTAAAAGAAACAGAGGACATTTTACACTCGATCTTTTCTGACTCTACCTTATTTCTCTTCACTGCCAATCTCTGAACTTCATATCTTCTCTGTCGCCCTGTTCGATTTACCTTGTCTTAGTAACTCGGTAGATACAATGCACAGCCATGTGTGGATGTGTATGTGGTGGTGGTGGGATTGGAGATGGCGAGGGGTGAATCAAATTTGACAACTGAGCAGAGAATCATCAACAAAAACAGTTTTCTTCAATGCAAAACTTCAAACAAGGGAAGCAAATGCTTTTGTAAGCCAGGAAAAAAAAGCTTATAATAGTATATTAATACTCAAAAGTTAACAGAAATACATGCAAGGAAACAGAGCATTATGAGAAGTAAATGAGAAAACTACAATAGTTTAAAGCACAGAGCTACTACAAGAACACAGAACTATTTTGTTGTCTTGTCAAAAAATAAAAAACCATGATGCCCATACTAAAGTCAGAATATGACTGAAGACCAAAGGAACAAAACGTGCAATGCCAGGCTGCTTTTGGGTATTTCCTAAAGAGCTCCTGAATGCTATGTAAAAAACACTGTGCTGACTGTCAAACGGATTTCAAAAACCAGTCTGAGGTAGGAACTAACTTTTATAACATCATATGAAAAGCGCAAGGACTACAGAAATACTGATTCAAGACACATCTACACATGTACATACCACTGTGTCTATTCTAGTTGCCTTTCAGGGAACTAGGTATCTCCTCCCTCCCTCCCTCCCTCCCTCCCCAACAATTCTGCGTTTGTCCGAGCACTCTCCAGGCAGGTCAGTTTTACACAAAACCCTCAAAACTCTACCTTGGTGTCATGGCGTACGGCCGAGACCGGGGTGACTTCCTCTGCTCTTTTCTTTTTGCCCTCTTCATCATCTTTCTCTTCTTCTGCCTTTTTCTCGGGAGTCACAGTGGTTATCAAGTTGGTCTGAGAGATGCCCTTTGTTGTGGCGTACTGGCCAGTACCAACCTCTGCAGCAGACACAGAATCCTTCATGTACATTTCATGGTTTTCATTCACTGATGCTAAAAGCAAATATTTAAAGAGGGAAAGTCTGAAATAGCTTTTGCTGAGAAGCTGCATAAATTAAAAAGCTGGGTTAGTAAAACATTTGAGATATTGCCAAAAACACAACTATGTCATGTTTCAGGAAACCAGAAGCATGTGCACACATTTAACCAAACTGTTTACTTGAAATAAAGCTTGTAGCTTTTATATGCATAAACATATATTACGGATGCATATACACACATTACTGTAGCTAATGTGTGCATTACACAGTTGTTAAATGTTAGCAAGCCATTAAAAGTGCTACTGTAGTAAAACATCAGAAAAAAAATCAATGCGTTGCTGCAGTTATCAGGCAGGAAACATAAGGAGAACCAGCTATGACATCAGCCATGGGGGCGGAAGAGATTTTTTTGGAAACCTGTCAGAATATGACAACGCAGATCAAATGCACGGTAAGTAACGTGCTGCATTACAGGAAATGACAATACTGATGTAACACAGGCATAATATCTGAGACTCAAGAAATGGGATCTTTGTATTATTGAGTACTAAAGTTTGTCAGTTAAGTGAGCTCATTATCCTAAAAAAATTCTGGGAAGTGACGGCATTCAATTCAGCAGACCAAACCAGAATATTTTAGGATGTAAATATTCGATAATTCAGCAAACTTAAATATATAGAAATGATTTTGAAATCTATAGTAAATTTACAGACAGAATATAATCAAACCATTAATATACACACCCAGACCCTGCTCTTGACTACTGTGTAACTAATTTCTAAGTTGAGAGGACTATTCAAATTTAGAAAGTTACTTGCATCCGTGACAAATGAGAGGGCCAAGATCACAGTGTAATCGCAATGCAGAATGTTACAGCCACGTTTGCGTTACAGTAACAGTAGTGAAGAAATCATAAGCACTGATTAAAAAACCTCTTTTCCCCATTTGCACTTACACAAATTAACATCATAAAAACCTTGCGGAGTCTAACAAATGCTGGAGAAAAGCGTTTCAGATATTTTGTCTCTTGGGAATGAGCTTAGGAGGCGGGAGAAAGCAAGGGGAGTAGAGGTAGACATCTTGTTTAGATGTTACAAACGAAATAACGCAGAAGGATAATCTCTGCTTTGAGACACATGCACAGCAAGCAGGTCACCAGTTGCTTGGTAACGAGTAAGAAGCACATCAGAATTAGAAGATTCCAAAATAATTAATGACAAGCAGCACCTTTAGGGGGAGGAAAGAAGGCTTGTCACTAGCACTTTTAAATCAAAGCTTCTCCCGCTCCCCACCATCAACTATACTCATTGCATTTTTGTTTGTGATATTCGGCTGGAGAATTCACCTTTTTTTTTTTTTTTTTAAACTGTAGCGATTCTGAACTTAGTCTCTGTCTGTTTTTCTACAAAAATAAACTACAACCTCTTTTTACTGAACAGCTGACAACAGTAACAGCTGAGACTCTGAACGACACGCTGGTTTAACCTAAGGGAGCAGCAGAACCGTGACCTCCACGAACAATGGAGAAAGGGAGGAGGAGGAAGGACGTACTATTAACCTGCCTATGTTACTCTCCACCTCACACCTTCAAAAGTAATGTATGGAAAAAGCTTGTTAGTGCGCATTCGACTAGGACGCGAGGTAATTGGAAGCAAGTGTTATTACTCAATCAAGGGAAATAATTAATTTATGGATTGTAACATATACTTCAATGAAAAACCTCCCTAGGAAAAAAAAGCCAAATTAAACCAAAACCCAAACAGTTACTCATGCAAACCCTGAAAAAGTGCTGAAGCCTGACCTGCTTGGGCAGGCTGGTCCAGGTGCCCCGTCCTTCCCCAAAGCTGGGAAGCACTTTGCAGGCGTGAGGCCAAGGAGAGAGGCTCCGTGACGAGCGGGCTCCCAAGGACCCCCTCCAGGCAAACACTCCGTAGGGACCGCAGCAGTACCTATAGCACAGCATTTCTCTCCATCCTCCCCTACCCCTGCAGTGCACGTGCAGGTACTCGCAGCCTCCGCTCAGGCGGAGCTCCAGGAGATGAGATGACAAGAGGTTTATACCTAATCTAAAGCAGTGACCACTGTGATTAACTTTTGACGAAGTCAACGGCGAGGACCTTACCCCCATCTAAGCTGCGAGACATAGTGTAACGTTTACTAGAAGACCGCTCAAAGTAAGGTGCGGGACGGTCTATGAGGGCACTGGCTCTTCTCGTCTGGGCCTGTGTCCGGCCACTGTAGCGAAACTTGGAGCCCAGCGTGAGGAACTTCTTTGGAGGTGCTTCTGGCAGCAGGAGCCTAAAACACACCAAGCAGTGCACCCGTTATTCCCTCTCCTCCAAAAATCAGTCCACTATTTCTGCGGAGGAGAGAAGACGACTGTTGGGTATCGCTCTCCATCACAACCTGTGCCTCACAGGTCTGCAGCTAAAAGGGAATGAAGGGGAATACAGCATGACAAAACCGCTTAGCTGATGCATGTGAAGAGCTGAGTTCTTCCTAACGGGCAAGAATCGCTCAGTCCCTCCCCGCTTCAAAATCATATTTATTATTGTCTAATCACCAAAACTAAAAATGTGTTCCTTGTATCAGGAAGCCTGATCTGGGCTGAAACACAGACATAGCTCTTACATTTCAAATTTAACATGGTGCTGCTACGCCGAGGACAGGGCCAGACAGATTTCCAGTGAACGCCAAGTAGTATTCATTCACAGGGACACAGACATTTTTCAGGTTAGAGCCTTCCCACCCTCTGGATTTTGGCTATGGGAGTTTGCTGAAGAAGCCATCCTCCTGCTATGGAGTTTATGCTTTAGACATTGATTTTCCATTAAAAATCAGAAAACACCCAAAAAATGCACACTCAGTTTCTTTTTAGATCTTTTGCTGCTAAGACTGCGTTTCATATGAATGTACAGACAGTCTGCACCAGGAGTTTTAAGAAAGGAGAGAAATCTTCCGTCCTCCCAAACATCTTGAGGGGGGTTTTTAGGCGCTGGACGCCCTTTCACACCGCTGAAAACCTCACCTGTTTTGGGTTTCCATTGCCAAGTATCTCTTTGCTGACTATCTCACCACAAACTAATTATAGCATTTATTCCGCTATCCCAAACTTTTCTCAGGTCTTCTTAGATTCCAAAAACATAGCTGCAAAATACGTCAGTAATACAAAAATCATAGCTACGGATTGGGTATTCTGGGTGACCAAGAAATACACCACCAACTACTGTCTGTATTTTCATATGTAATTAAACAAAAATCTCCTTTTTTTAAAAACTCTTACCCACATCCCCCAGTAACTTTCCATATAAGTTGTTCTCCCTATACAAGCATATTTGCAGAAGGGCAGCAGAGTCCTTCATCTCTTTAATTATAGCAGCTGATAATATCATGGCACAGATAAAGCAAAACAATTAATTGGAACCATATGGTGATTTTAAACATTCAGTATCTATCTGAAATAGTATGAATAATTTGGGTGAAACATTTCAAATTGTGAAGAAGGAATAACTTTCCCTTGTCTGCTCACAGATACCTCGTGATCAAAAAAAGACAATTTGATTTTGAAGGGTTTTGTCTCTGCTGACAGAACTGGTCTTTTCTGTCGCGCTCTGTATCACACCTGTAGCAAAAGAAATCCACATACCTGAAAAATGTATGGTGCTCAACACACACTTTCCATAAGCGCTTTGCAGCACGATGATTTGGCAACTTAAACCCAATAGTGCTTTCAAACTGCTCAAACTAGGCAGGAAAAAAAGAAAAAGTACGTATTTGATGCTGTGCGTCTATTTTTAGACAGTGTACACAGGTTCATGTTCATTTTCTCCATCTATATCATCTCATTGCAAGGGTGAACGTATATGCTCATGTATATAACCACATATATACATACTCTACAGCCTACTGTCTGGGAAGGAAGCTGTGAGTGACAATCAATGGCAACCTTTGAGGATCACTTTTGGGGGGAAACTCAGATAATGAGCAAGAGGTTTTTGATGCTGACAGTGATGTTTTATGCCCTACAGTAACGAAGAGATCAGTTAAGCCTTGGCAGACTTGTGAGAAAAACATCATTTAAGTGGTTTGACCCTGTTGTTTTAACTTCAGTGGTTTAAACAACAGTGGGAAGCCTGACAATAGCCTGGAGGGGAGCAACAGTCCCCAGGGACTGATCTGGTCTCACACAGCCTCAGATTAAGGAGACTTAGAGTGAAAGAACTACAGCTAGTAAATCACAGCGGTTTTAGCTAATTTATCTCCTGGGGAGGATGAGTAAAAAGACAGGTAATTGAAAAGAGTCGGCTGGGAATCCTAAGAGACCTTTCTAGGTTGTGCTGCAGATTTGTATGTTCCAGATGCAAAAGCTGTGCCAGCTGTAACACGTGGAGGGCTACATGCAGATAGCTGAACGGGTGAGAGAGTGTTGCTGTGATCGGGGAAAGGTGGGCAGGAGGGCACTTGTCAGGGAGTCTGGACCCCTACGGGGAGCTGATGGAGAGAAACGAGGCAGGAAACAGCAAAACAATAAAGATGATAGAAGCAACACACGGGATGGTGAATCACATTATCACCAAATGTGATTTGGAAAGAGACTGCATTGATTATTTTGCATAAGGAACTATGACCTGGTCACAGGACGCTACATACCAAGACCAGCAGAGCTCAATAGGGCTTCAGTGGCGGAGAGCTTGGGTGCAGGCATTGGGAACATCAGTGGCTATTCATTTTTTTTTTTAAATCAAACTCAAGACTGGGAAGTTGGTTAGAGAAACTGTGTCTGCTGACAGGCAGGAAATGTAGGCTTGTGGATTTTGGCTTGGGATTCTCAAAAAGGCTCAGGCCTGGGGCCAGTGGGGGGCCCGGCAGATTTCCCAGGTCACTTAAGAAGTCAGTACTGGAGACGTTGGCTGGGGACTCCCAACTGCCACACTGCATTAAGGGAGAAACGCCAGTCCTCACCCAGCTGATCTCTGCCCCGCTGTACAGCTCCGTCCTCTAAAATGGGTACGGGGTTTTCACCTGTCACAGACTGATCACCGCGCCAGCACTTAAAATGGAGACGCTCCTTGGCCTGTGATGACCCCGAACTCCTCCTGGGATTTCTCCTCGGGCGTATCACCTTGTTTCTGGGTTGGGGCAGGCTGGACCCAGAGGAGGGCGGCGGAGCCACGAGAGGGCACCCGCTGTACGAGATTTCCCAGCCCCTGCTCCCCAGCCAGCACACCGACCTGGGCGGGCAAACGCCTCCAGCTGCCCAAAACGCTGAAGGATGGACGCTTGATCAGCCTCTGCTTTTCCTCCCCGACTCCAAAGGTACTCGTCTGCCACGCTTACGAAATTTGGTATGGCCTGTCTACATCTCTCAGTGGGTACGATGAATAGACACTAATTTAATATACAACACGACGGTAGGTAACGAGCGCTCCGTGAATAAGCAGTATGTTACTTAAATTCCCAAAGTATTCATAATACGGATGAGCTTTTTACGTGCAGATGGTCATATTTATTCTTTATGTTAGCTCATAGATGTAAACAGAAGAACACCAAAGAAGGTTTTACCTGTATTTTAAATAAAGTATTTACCTAATCTTTCCCAAGAAAATCAGCACAAATTAAAAAATATAAATGGAGAGGAATGTTAAAGGCTTGTAAGACATGACAAATCAACAAATCAATGAGAACATGGGGTTTTTTTTTAAAAGGTTCATTCACTAAAGAGTGTCAGGATGCCCTTACCTCCCCCGGTCGGATTTTGATGTAGAAGTTGTTCCTCTTGTATGAAATTTTCAGAACCTTTGGCCAGGCAAATCTATTTATTCTGAGTCTGTCTCGATATATTAAGAGACCACTTGCACAAACTCCTAGCATGATTTCCACTCCTTCGGAATCCTGGAAAAGCAAGCAATGCACTTTGTGGAGCATTTATCTCCTTACGTGTACAGTACTACAGATGCTTGTATACTGTGTTTCTATCTGAGCTACGTCTTTTTAATGCATCAGCTGTAGTGACCTGATTTCTGAGAGCTACCCTACTCATAGACTGCATTCATGCAAGTAATAGTAAGGTTGGGCAGGGTGAGAGAAACCAAGCGTTGTGAATATTTCCTTGTATTTTAGAAAGACTCCAAAAGAAGGGGGGAAATTTTAGACATTATGAAAAGAATAACCATATAGCAAGATTTTATCAGCATAAGAAAAAAAAGTGTTATTAGCATAAATACCAGATTGAAAGCAAGTAGGACAGCATACAAACGTACTTCTCCCAGCATCACTCATCTCCATGACTAAGCCTTGTGAATCCTTAGGAAGGTTCTCCTTCTGTAGTTTGCTCATCTTGGCTTTAGTTGCTTTGCCAGTTTCTTTAATGCTGTTGTGCCTATGCTCAGTACCTTCCTTTTGAAATAACCAGTGGGCAGAAAGTTGGGCATTTGGATCAGAAAGATTCTTTCAAAAGTGTGCAACTGTGCCTGTGTTACAACCCATGTTTGACAGGGAAGCTGTAGGTCAGACACATTAGCACTACCAAAGATTTGGCCACTATCTTATCAGAATATACCCATAAATACGTATTTTTGAAGTAAGAAGTATACATTTCTCTTTCCTCCAGAAGCCTTCAAATAGTCTAAAACCAGTCTTCACTGTGTGCTATCACCACTGGCCTCTATAATTCCATTTTTTTGATTTAGATAAGTACTAATACTGCCAGCTTCACCTTAAAGCACAGAGTTCTTTGGTAATTATTTTAAAATAACTTAAAGTTACAAAAGTCTGACCCTATGATATTACCCTATGATAATCATGAAATGAATTAAATGTTTTCCTGTGGTTTTCCCAACAAGCCGTCTTTCAGGCATACAGTGAAAATCTGATTACATTTTAAGATGAACACAAAGGCATGCATGGTCAGTCATGATGAAAAGGCTATGGCACAGCTTGAAATACAAACAAATTGTTTTAAAATCAGAGGCACAACATAGAATTAGTGCCACAAAGTCACTCCAGTGTTAGAAAACACACCAATAGAGAACGTATGTTCCAACAACGACGGTATCACCCCTTAAAGGTAGATTTTTTTCCAAATAAAGCTCTCGTGTGATTTCACTGTCAGGTACTAGAGAAGAGACAAAGATAATTTTTTTTCTGAAGTGGACTTCAGTTTCACAGTTTCCTGAGCAAAGAGTAATGTATAAATGCAGCGAATACATTCTAAAAATGAAAGTCTCACTGCCAGTAATCCCACTGCCTGGCAAATGCCTGAAATGCACATGTGCTCACATACAACACACAGCTGCAGGTGCAAGGGGCTCTTCCTTTTGATATACTTGCTCAAAAACCTGTTGAGAAATGTCTTCCTCCCTCATCTCCACCTTTGCAGCAGATCCATTCGAGGCTTCTGTTACTTGTTTGTGTCAGAGACTGCTTTTCAATGTGATACTACTGGTGCAAAATGAAACCTGAATAAAAGAATTTGGCTTTCTTCAGGAGCGACGCGGTTGCATGGAACAGAAAATTGTTAGCTTCAATGTCTGAGGCATGAGATGCTGAGCTGCACATCCCTGCATACGAATGGAGGGCTTTATCAGAGCGGTGACAGCCCAGAGGACAGATCTGTCTATTTGAACACGTTTTTTATCATAGCCTTGTGTTGGATAATTGAGAATTAGTTTTAACAGCAGCTGGTGAGTCCAGCATCTGTTGAATACCTAAGATACTGGCACAGCCTTAATGAATTGACATTTACATAGAGACATCTGCCATGGCATGACTTCAAAAAGGCATCCACAGAGATACTTGTCCCCTAGCCTTATACCATCAGATCTCATTGGCAGACCTAATTAAAACTAAACGTTACTTCTCATGCAGAGTCTACTTTTCTCACCTTCTTCCAAGATTACCGTTGGGTTTTTTAACCCACAGACAGACCCAATTTGGCTACCAATGCAGCTTTTTAAATTAAGAACATCACTTTAGAGAGAGATCGGCTTGTCTACACTACTGCTCTTGCTCTGAGTCTTTCCATATGAAAAACAGGAGTAGAACTGGATGCTAATATTTTTCAGAAAAAAAAAAAAGGTTATATCTCATGATATTCTATCTTAAATTTCACAGCCTTTCTCCAATATTCTGAAAAAATACTTAGGCCTTAACGCTATGCTATGTTAGATTTTCAGTAATAAAGCCTGTAATGTATTTAGAACAGAAACTCCTTTGCTGCTTTGCAGATTTGTGTTGGACAAAGGATGTTGAAAAAAGCAACTGAGTGGCATTCACCAATCCGTTTCTATCTCTGCTCTAAATGTGCCTCAAGATTTTGTGCCTATCTACAAGACACAGGGAAGGCAGCAGCATGCCTCCTGGTAGAGTGCTGCCCGTTGAGCCATACCCGGATTTTTCATTTTCAGTGAAGGCAATTAACAGAACACAAAAGATCGCCTTGAATTCTGTAACACACATGCACAGCTCCTATGAAGTGCCCCTGGGACACAGCTCCAGGCTCTTTCAAGATTCGAGCTGCAAATTTATCTTGGTTCTTGAAAGGATCTGCTGCAGCACAAAACCAGGCTCACAATAATTTGACCTTTACAGAAAATGCAGCGCTCTCCACAGCTCAGGATTCTTTGTTCAGCACTCATTTGCCAAGGATGTTTGCTAACTTTAAAGATCTTAAAATCCATTAGCCCTACTTTGAAGAGTGAATTAAAAAATAGTAATTATTTATTTGGAAAAAAACCTACCAAACAACAAAAACCAGACAAGCAACATAAGGCTGGTAGGTGGCTCTCCCAAGCCGCAATAAGAATGACCATGTTTTATTCATAACTTCACCTGCCGATGATTAGAGAAACGACTTCATCATGGGAGAATGTTTCCGGCAGAATTACTGCCCTTCCAGTCAACTGCAACGACCACATTACTATCAATCTGATTAGGTTTCCAGCATGGCTAAATAATTGCTTGAAAGTTCTCTGCAGTGTTACAAATGATCTGCTTATCTAGTTAAGATACCATAGTTGGCCTTATTAAATTGGAAAACGTAGCTGAATGAAATGACAATTGATCACCCTCTGGACAGCTTCTAATATCCTTCCTCATTACTCCATCCATTCACTGTTTTCCCAAAGGATTTGGTTGTTTAATCAACGTGAAAGGTTGATGTGCAACATCTTTGAATCTGTAGGCTACGTTACAGTTACAAGATATATTTATGCTTATCCCATGAGTCACCTTTCCTCATGTTGACACATTATTTATCCTACAAAATGTCTGTCTCAAAACAACAAGAAAGAATCAATCAGGGAGTCCATGCAGGCTCAAGTACTAAGCCACAGGAGAAAGATGACCAGTGGAAGAACTAGAGTACATACCTTGGCGTGATGGAGATCTACTCCATACATTGATAGTTTTTTGGCATTCTCCAGGAAATGCATCTCAGCCTCCGCAGGTGTCATTCCCCTGAGGAAAAGCAACCAATTATAGCATCAATGTTAAGGAAACAGAATTCAAAACAAAATCCAGTGGCTGGAAAACATTTTCAGCCTGTCAGAACTACAGCCGTACCCCTTAGGTAGCCGGGCACCTACAGAGCCAAAGCTCTGGTGTAGACCCTGTTACTTTCCATGCTGCAAAGCTCTTCTCTAACCAGAAATGTGGAGAGGAGTCTTGTCCAAAAAATCCAGATCAAAAAATGTCAGAAAAATGTCCACCCTCCCAGCAGAGAAGGACCTGGGAGTGCTGG